TATAATTACTGTTAAGAAATAATATGTTTTATACATCATGCTTTATTTAATATAAAAAATTCGTTTTATCATTTCGAATTTCCTGTTGGATTCAATTTTACTATCTAATATCAGATATTTAGCATTGATATTAATTAGGATTATCCAATAGTACCAATTATTTCTATAAAGCTTTAAAATTCATGATTTTTTTAATCTCTTCGTCATTAAAAATGCTATTTTAGCATTTAATTTGTCTGATTTGTTTGGCTTTTATGAGCAAATATTTTTTTAATACTTTGAATTTCTTGAGAACTCTCACCTTTTGCTGTTATCTATTTATAAGCCATTTCTTTAAAAAACTATATTTTAATGTCCAAGGAGCTTTCTTCCTTATAATGTCTCTTATAGAATCAAGGTACACTTCAAAGGTTCTTAAGTATTAGCTTATAATTTCAAATAATAATTTTAATAAAAAATGGATATTAAGATAAGCAAGCATAATCACAAAAGGAATTTGAAACTCAAATATATCATTTATTTATTCTATATATATTTCAAGTCCTAAAATAATTGATATTTAACAAACTTATGCTGAAAAAGCATCCAATTTATTTAATTTTATTGAACTATATGGTTAATTTTTTTTATTTAGTTTCTCATAAATATGAACTGTTAGGAATACTAGAATACCTTTTTTAATGATAAATTCATCATAATAAGTTAGGAAGATGATGATTAATTCTTTTTGAAAAATTTTATTGTACTCGTTGTACAAATAACCAAGACGCTATCTCATAACTTTTGTGTTCAATTTAGCTTTGTTGAAGTACATTCCTAAATATAAAATTATTGGAATCAAAATAGCAATTATCAATATTAATTAAAGACAAAAGGTTGTCAACCAAAAGTAATGTGAATTAGTATCATATCTATATGCAACATCAGCTTAAATCCATTTGAAACCAGAAATCTAACGAAAAGAAATTAACTATAAAAATCCTCCAATCAAAGAAGGTTAAGCATAAATGTACAAATATAAAAAAGTTGTAATGATAACACTTACTTTATAACTTAAGTAATTGAATAAAACTCCTATAAAAAAGAATCCTAAAAATAAAGTGATAAAATTAAAGGTAAATATAATTACCATATCATTCTTGAATAATGAATATCAAAAGAAAATATGACAATTAAAAAGCATATTGCATTATTTAGATATTGAGGTAATTTAAATTTAAAAGTTGTAATTGTAGAAACTACTTGTAAATGATTAGTTAACATCTTAATTAAAACTCCTGCTTGGGAATCTTATACTTCTAATTGATATTAATACAGAAATTATTGTCCTAAAAAATACTTAAAATTTTTACCAAATGCTAATAAGAATAATTAAAATAGCATTTAATTCTTAATCAGTACAAGGTCCACATTAATATTAATTACTGGTTGAGTAATGTCCTAACCCTAAAAAACATGATGTATCACCCACTTCCCATCCTCCAATACAATTTTCAACTAAGTTAATACACCCCTAAATATTATCAGTATTAAAATAAATAAGGTCTCCAAAATCCTTATTTTATTTTCAATTTTGCAGAAGTAACTTCATCCACTTCTAATTCATCCATAATAGAGCATTTATTAGAGTTAATTATAAGAGAATACTATCCTTAGGTGGCATTACAAACGATACAAATACCTGTTGTTTAATTCTTTATTTCTCCAAACTAACAAGGCAAAGTCTTTAAATTTATAAGAAGAAAATAGTTATTGTGATATTCAATTATTATTCTAAATTATCATTATAAATTGGAATAGAAACAGAAGTACAATTAAATTGGAGTTATAATGTCGAATTTAATTAATCATCTAAAAAGACAACTAAATCATCTAAATTGTAGTCAGAACTATTAAAAACAACTCTTGGAATATTAGTGAAATTTGATGTAAATTTATTTTAATTATTAGAATCAAATATTCTATCAGTTATATCACAAGTTGAATTGTCTAAATTATACTATTAATTATTATATTGATCTAGCGCTTTTATTCTAAAATGCATATTATATTTAAAATATTTCAGTTAAGCCCAATCAAAATACTCATATTTAGATAATGGCTAGCCATTTGGTTCGTAAAAAGTATCAGTATCTTAATCTTTGAAAATCTTATACGGTTTTATTACAATCTATTCAATAAGCAAATTTTCTGTTTTAATAATTTAAACTTTTTCTAATCCTGTAATTGTGTTTAAAAGGGATTGTTATATTAGGATGGAATTTAAGCATAATTATTTCCAAATAGTTTAGCAGTCTTTAAATCTATAAAATTCTTTGACGAATAAAATTGATTGGTTTTTTAAAGATTAATAGACAATCCTCCTCCAAAATTTGCAGTGTTATTTGTAATAATTGATTCAACTAAAACAAATTTTTAATTTCCTATGATTGTAATTGCACCACCCTAAATGTTAGCTTCATTGTGTTTAAATACTGATGATTTTATTAAAGTGTTCAAATTTGAAATAAATAAGCAAGTACCTTCATATCCAAAATTATTCATCTGTGGTAATGATTTTAAATAAAAAATGTAAATTTTTATTTAAAAAAAAATAGCAAGAATTTCGGATATTTGGATAACTTCAGATCATAAACCTATTTTAAAAGAAAATCTTATTTACTCTAAAGTATTCTATAATTATTGGAATTTTGAAAAATTAAACAAGCCAACTTTCCACAATTATTTTATTAAATCAATAAAGAATCTATAGAGGTATCAACAAAAGAATCCATAAAATAAAAAGCTAGTAATCCTCTTAATTTAGAATCAGTATTATAAATTCTTATTTAAGATAATCTAATAACTGTTTATTCAGACTATATCATAAAAAGATGAATGGGTGAAAAAGTCTCTAAATTACTTATTGCTTTTAAAACACAATATGCCTGCTCTATACTATCATTTTTGAGAGAAACTAAATATGTAAGAGCTAAAGGCTATTGACTAAATTTATATTTGAACTGATTTTCAATAATAGATTGATTTATTTAGCATTTAATTGATTAATTAATACGGCAGACTTCCTGATAAAATGAATTGATAAATTTCTAAACATAAATTTCTAATATCGTTTACTATATTATTACTAATAGTAATATTTAATACTGAAATATTTGAAAATTACAATTTAGAACCGCTATTCATTTCATCAATGTAGACAGCATGATTCAAAAAGTAGGATTGAATTATTTTCATGTTTTTTATTGTAATACTTTTTGCTGCTTTTAGTGTGAATACAGATTCATATTCTAATGAAGATATTTCTATATTTTCTAAAATAATGATTTTAAAATTTGATATCAAAAACAATGATCTTGATCTTAGTTAAACTATTATTGATTATTACTTTTCATTTAGGTTCTTAAAACTGTTTAGAAATCCTAATTATTCTGACATAGTATTCATCATTTTAAAATTTTTAAGTGTGAAAGTAGTTTAAACATTTTAAATTTCGAATTCTCAACAAAATAGTGAACCTAGCACCGAATATACATTTTCAACAAAAAGATTTTCTAGATGAATTTTTGTAACTCCTTTGCCAGATTACAAGTATAAAAATCATCAGATTTTAAATTACTGAAATTTGCATACTGAGTTGAAAATATGGCTAAAGCTGCACAAAAATAAATGACACTTCTTACGAATAATGTTGTCTTTAATTATCTAATTTTACTTGTGGCGTAACTTGTATGAAAAAAGAAATATTTTGATAATATACGACCAAAATTGTTTGTGATATTGGTGAAACTGATGGTAAATTTGTAATGTTATGCTCAACTTTGTTCCCTAATGTAATCTTATACTTAAGCAGATTAAGATCATGAAGCAAGTTTTTCATCAAAAGATTGTAAATCTGCAAAATAGTACCTCTCAGTGTATCTTAAACTTTAATAAGTGTTTTTAATACTTTATTTCAAAAACACATAAAAAAATTGCAAAATATAATTCTTTTTATAATTGGAGTTAAATTCTAAAAGCTAATGTTAATTGATAGATGAAAAATATTAAGATATTGATTTTACCACTTAAGATTAATAATAATGTCTTTCTATATCAGAATATACTTACTCTTGGAATACAAGTAAGAATAAATGTTCATCGTGTAATGGTGATAAAGACAATTAAACTAATTAGACAACAAATCACATTAATTCAAGTACTAAGAGATGAACACTAATAGTTACGGTTGAGTTTTGATGATTTAATATTTATTTTTATTTAATAATGACTTGAAATACATATTAAATTTATTAATACTATTATTAATTTTCCTTAATGATAGATTAGAAGTTTTAATTCTTAGTTTGAGTAATTTATAAGAGTTCCTATATTATCAATACTTTGTTTTATAATCTTTGCCTCTTGGTTAATGATTATGATTGTATTCAATTTCATACTCATGATTAATTTATACTATAGGGGATGAACTAGATTAATTGTTTAAGATAAGCAAATCAATCAGAATTTTAATATTGTTNTTATTACTAATAGTAATATTTAATACTGAAATATTTGAAAATTACAATTTAGAACCGCTATTCATTTCATCAATGTAGACAGCATGATTCAAAAAGTAGGATTGAATTATTTTCATGTTTTTTATTGTAATACTTTTTGCTGCTTTTAGTGTGAATACAGATTCATATTCTAATGAAGATATTTCTATATTTTCTAAAATAATGATTTTAAAATTTGATATCAAAAACAATGATCTTGATCTTAGTTAAACTATTATTGATTATTACTTTTCATTTAGGTTCTTAAAACTGTTTAGAAATCCTAATTATTCTGACATAGTATTCATCATTTTAAAATTTTTAAGTGTGAAAGTAGTTTAAACATTTTAAATTTCGAATTCTCAACAAAATAGTGAACCTAGCACCGAATATACATTTTCAACAAAAAGATTTTCTAGATGAATTTTTGTAACTCCTTTGCCAGATTACAAGTATAAAAATCATCAGATTTTAAATTACTGAAATTTGCATACTGAGTTGAAAATATGGCTAAAGCTGCACAAAAATAAATGACACTTCTTACGAATAATGTTGTCTTTAATTATCTAATTTTACTTGTGGCGTAACTTGTATGAAAAAAGAAATATTTTGATAATATACGACCAAAATTGTTTGTGATATTGGTGAAACTGATGGTAAATTTGTAATGTTATGCTCAACTTTGTTCCCTAATGTAATCTTATACTTAAGCAGATTAAGATCATGAAGCAAGTTTTTCATCAAAAGATTGTAAATCTGCAAAATAGTACCTCTCAGTGTATCTTAAACTTTAATAAGTGTTTTTAATACTTTATTTCAAAAACACATAAAAAAATTGCAAAATATAATTCTTTTTATAATTGGAGTTAAATTCTAAAAGCTAATGTTAATTGATAGATGAAAAATATTAAGATATTGATTTTACCACTTAAGATTAATAATAATGTCTTTCTATATCAGAATATACTTACTCTTGGAATACAAGTAAGAATAAATGTTCATCGTGTAATGGTGATAAAGACAATTAAACTAATTAGACAACAAATCACATTAATTCAAGTACTAAGAGATGAACACTAATAGTTACGGTTGAGTTTTGATGATTTAATATTTATTTTTATTTAATAATGACTTGAAATACATATTAAATTTATTAATACTATTATTAATTTTCCTTAATGATAGATTAGAAGTTTTAATTCTTAGTTTGAGTAATTTATAAGAGTTCCTATATTATCAATACTTTGTTTTATAATCTTTGCCTCTTGGTTAATGATTATGATTGTATTCAATTTCATACTCATGATTAATTTATACTATAGGGGATGAACTAGATTAATTGTTTAAGATAAGCAAATCAATCAGAATTTTAATATTGTTTTGAGGTTTAATCTTGTTCGACAAAAGATTATTTATTTTGTCAACATATTGATTAACTATAAAATCATAAAGATATGAATAAAATATAAATACAATGACTTTTTATTTCTAGATATTCTAATAAAATAAATATGTAAAATTATTATTTTTGTTTGAATATTCAATTAATCAGTATTTCATTGATATCAAATTTCTTTCCATACTTATTCCAATTTACTAAATATCTTCCATCATTACTTAATGCTCCTTAAATCGAATTGGATTTATATTGCATCTATGTAATTATATTTAATTAGCCATCATTTGATATTTTAATTAAATAGACATGAAATTTGTGTCTAACAATCATCAAACTCTTTTCTTTATTATAAAATATAGGATATAAAGTGCAATCCCAAATTTGATCATTTTTTATTAGTTGAACTTGTTTATCTAAATTTTCTTGATATTTTCCATCTCTTAATTAGAAAATGCTGATACAATCGTTGCTTACATCCTTTCCTGTCACCCAAATAAATTAATTATCATTTATAAAACACAATCTGCATCCTGATTCTTAAATCGTTTATGTAACCACATACATAAATTACCATTTCTATTTATTATCTTTATTCCATATTATTATTTAATTATCGCCTCCACAAGAAGCTAAAATATTTTCAGATTAATTAAAACATAAACTATAAACATGGCCTGTATGTTAATCTAATGAGTAAAGATAAGTTAATTCATTCTAAATTAAATCAATCGACCAAATTTTAATCGAATAATCATCTCCACCAGAAAAAAGTTCCTTTTCAGATTAATTTAAGATTAAACATTTAATCCATTAACTATGTTTTTCATAGGATAAAGAACTCTTCCATTTTTTTTCATTTATTTATTTCCAACATCGAATTGAATTATTACCGCCCGCTGATATAAAACTATTACTCTTCTAACTAAATAATAAACAACAGATATTTTCAGTGTGTGCTTTAAGTGTAGTGATTTCTTTTAATTTTCCTTAATCAAAATTCCACACCTTAATATCTTTATTAGAAGCAGATATCATAAGTGATCCTGATGAATTAAAAGAAATTGCATTACATTAATTTGATTATGTTATTGAATCATCAATGAGTGTAATTTGATATTTTTGAGCTGCTTATTTAATGGAATTATCAATAACTTGTATTTGATGAGATAAATTCCAATTTTATAAGTATTTATCACATTATGATTATAATTCTAAGTTTTTAAGATTAGATAATTATAAATTAATTTTAGAATAATAAGAATTATTAAGTGCTTTAATTGAATCTCTTATTTATTCTTATTTAGATGTATTATTAATTAATAATTCTAATTCATCATAGAAACTATATTATGAATTAAATTTTTTAATTTGATTAAGACTTTTGATCCAATTTTCAAAATAAGAGATTACTTAATCTAATTAGTTAATGATACTTGATTTGATTGTATGCAATTCATTTTAAAATTATTCAATTAAATCTAAATCAACTTAAATGACTTTTTAGATATTATCTACTGTGCTATTTTAATTATCTTCAATCATTTAAAGTACTTTCTTAAATCCAATCATTTTACTATCTGATTCAAATGTTTCCATACAAATATTACATAAAAGACTTTCTTATCCCTTCAACTTTTTGTCAAATATAACCATATGTATTGGTTGATTATGGTTTTCTCTGCAATTCAATTATTTTCCTAATTCTATCATTTGTTATTAAATCATAAAACAAATAAAAATTAATAAACTTAGTGATTAATAATAAATATATTGAAATCTTTATTTTAGTAAGAATAGCTACACAAAAAACTTGGAAAAGAAATTATTAAAATATGAAAAAAAACTCAAAAATTTTTCTGTATTTTTAGATCCTAAATTATAAAATTATACATTCATGAAATTAAAGTATTGAAATCAAATTTAAATAATTCAGGTGGAGTAAGTTTGTATATATTTTTGTGTAGAAAAATGTCAATATTG